GAACAGTATACGTACCATCACACAATGCAGTCAAACCAATCTGTGAAGTAAAACTGCAGAAAGTAAGTTTAGTAGTCAGTCTCTGTTACAGCCCACAGAAGTGGAACAAACAACATTAATTAATTGTCTAAAATTATATCTCTATTTATATCATTTTACCTAGTACATCAGACAATTGGAAGGATTAGAGGTCATCAGAATAAATTATACACAATACATTATCTCAGCCTCATAGCAGAGGACAGAAACTTCACAACTTGTACAGTTATGCTTTGGTCAACCCTGGCCAATAAAATGTTGAGAGTCTCTTAGATTTTAAAAAGGAAGGGGAAGGAGCTAGTGTGGTAAATTTCTCATCTATTGGCTTGAACCAAGTTTGAATATAAACCTCTGTTGTTAGGCTGATCATTAATGAACAGAAGTTGAATTCTAAATCTGAAGGCTGCTAGCCAGACCAAATATACAAGCAATATAGAACAAACTTCTAATTTAAGAGCCATGTAGGGTGCACATCTATGCAATTTAAAAAATATTCTCTGAAATTTAAGTTGAATTAGTTCAACAGACGGAACTACCACTTGTACCCAGACTGTTGCTGCGCTTGGTAAATAATTGAAGTACCGCAGGAAAGTACTGTAATTCGATCATAAAAAAGAATTTTAAAATTGCTCCAGTCTCTCTTTGGGATTAAGCTATATATGCAGTTTTCAACATAGTTTTTTGTTGAAAATAACCCCTGAACTTATTCAATCTTATATATTCCTCTCACCCAATTAATTAGATGGTGAGAGGCAGTTCCAAAGTAGATGATTTTGGCTTTATCAACATTTATAGTCATTTTGTTTTCAGAATATTACATGAATAATGCCTGCAAGGCTATCTTTAACCCCACCTTCGTTAATGAAATAATTATCGTGTCATCTGCATATAATAATGTAAAAATTCTTTCGTTACCCAGTTTAGGAGTATGTAAATTATCTGCTTGAAAAATTTGAATTACATCACTTATATACAAGTTAAATAGCAGAGGAGCCAGCACACAACCCTGCTGTACTCATTTACACATAGGAATATTAGAAATAAGTTGACCAAAATAATTGCAACATTCTTGCATTGTTGTATTATAATTAAGTAACTTAAGTAAAACCGAAAGGGCAAAACTGATTCAATATGAAATTGGGAGAGCAATCATAAGTTATCCTCAGACATTCTAGAATAATTTTTTTTTAAAAGCTGTCCAGAAGGCCTGAAGTTGAGGTGTTCACTTCACTTCCTGGGGGAGAGAATTCTACAACTTGGGTGTGTGGTCACTGAAAAGGTCCTCCCTGCCAACAGAACTTCTTATAGGACAGGTTCCTCCAGGAAAGACCCATTCAGTGATCTCAAGACTCAGGATGTGATGGATGGAGGTGCTCCTTCAGTAATGCTTTAAAGGATACCCTGACCTGCAGGCCCGTAGCCAGGATTTCTTGTGTCAGAGGGCCTTTAAAATTCTCCAGGGGCACCTAATTGATTTGGTTAAAGTAAGTTAAATTAAGTGCCCCTTTCACACAACTGCATCTGATTGCCTTCTCCTTCCCCCCCCCCCGAGGGAGCTTCCACAGCCTGGACTCCTATACCCCCCCACTGACTCACTCACCCTGTAGGTAGGGCAGGCGGGAAGGGAAGGCGGTGGAGGAGCATGCCGATGCACTCGCCCCCTTGGAGACCCCCCCCCAGCCACCCACCCACCGCTCTCCCTTTTACAGGGGCTGGATAGGGAAGGCAGGTGGGAAGGTGAGGCAGTGGAGGAGTGAGCCGATGCGCTCGCCCACTAGGAGACCCTTAAGCCAGCCAAGGCTGAGCACAGCCAGCCCGGGACGGAGCGCTGCTGCGGCCACCTCATCTCATCTTCACTTTCCTCCACGTGCTCCACCCTCTGCTTGATGCTGGCGGTGCTGCCATATCTCCAGTCCCTCAAGCAACAGCAGCAGCAGGCCAGGCCTGGGTAGCAGCTGCCACCGCCGCTGCTGTGTGCACCTCGTCCTCCCCCAGCCAGCTGCCTGCCCACCATGGCCTGCATGGGGCAGAGCTGCTCATATTTCATTGTATATATTCATACAAGTGGCCGGCCAGGGAAGGAGCCCTGCTGCAGGTGCCTTGTCCCTGCTCTCCTCCACACGCTCCACCCTCTGCACAGTGGCAGCAGCGCTGCCATCTCCCCACTCCTTCCCCAAGTAACAGCAGCAGCAGGCCAGGCCCAAGTAGCAGCTGCTGCCACTGCTGCTGTGTGTGCCTCGTCCTCCCCCGGCCAGCTGCCTGCCTGCCTGCCATGGCCTGCATGGGGCTGCTGGTTTTTCATTGTATGCATTCATACAAGTGGGGCTGCTGGCAGGTGGGGAAAGGGAAGGGGCGGTGTCGGCAAGTCCTCTGGGCAGCTCAGAGAGTCAGGGGGCCTGGGCTGTGTAGGAAGTCAGGGGAGATTGGAAAGAAGTGGGGGGCCAGGCCCTGGGAAGCCCCACCATGGCTACGGGCCTCCTGACATGGATAGCCCAGGCAAACCCGATCTCATCAGATCTCGGAAACTAAGCAGGGTCAACTCTGGCAAGTACTTGGATGGGAGACCTATTTGGAATACCAGCAGTCAGGAGGTGGGCGCAGGCTTTATTCAGCCACCTCTCTGAATATCCTCCTGATCCCCGGTAAGGGTCAGTCACCAGAGGTCGCCATGATTTCCAAGTGCACACACAGTCAGTCACCAGAACTTGCCATGACTTTTAGGTGTTCTCTCGTTCTCTCTCTCTCTCTCTCTCTCTTTCTCTCTCTCTCTCTCTCTCTCACACACACACACACACACACACACACACGGAAAAAAAATAAGGAATGCTTTAAAGGTTAGAACCAGAATCTTGAATTGAGACCAGAAACAAGCTGGCAGCTACTGCAATTGGCAAAGCATTGTCTTTTATACATCCATTTCTTCGTATCCCAGTTAGGACTCTACATGCTGCATTTTGTACCAGCTTAAGTGTCTAAACCATCTTTGGGCAGCCACTTGTTTGAAGGTCTGTCTCTTTCCATATGTCCCTGTGCACCCACTACAGTAATCTGGAAGCCATCTGTTGGCTATCCCACCACTTAGGATGGCCTGTGTAGCATCGTCCAGAGCCTGGGCCTTTTCCATCATGGCTTTGCCTCTGGAGAATGGAGATGAGATCCTTGGAGATCTTCAGGAGGCACTACAAGACTTACCTGTTTTCCAGGGCATCTGAGGTGGTTTGACCAACAGATGTCTTTTAAGGGGGGGAACTGGGGGGCTTGTTACTTTGTCTTTGGTTTTAGCCTATTATTGTAAGTTGTCGTGCACCAAGAGGAATGGCGGGATATAAATATTTTAATAAATAAATAAAATGTAATATGTAATGTGTGATATGGTAATCTAGGTCTGGATGTTACTAAAGGATGTGTAACAGTAGTCAATTCAGCTTTTTTCAGGGAAGCTTGCACCTGTTTTACCTGCCTAAGATGGGAAAGGGCACTTCTGGTAACTTCGGCCACCTGTCCCTTCATGGACAGTTAGGTGTCCAATAGTACCCTCAAGCTACACATTTGCCCGTCCAAGAGGAGTGTAACCCCATCCAGGATAGGTTAAGCATATGTTCATTTATCTGCCTTATTCCCAATACATATTTCCTTTGCGTCTGGATCAAGTTTTAATTTATTCACCCTTATCAGTATCTTTACTGCCAACAAAACACTAGCCTCCCTGGAATTAGTTGGAGAGACAGAGCTGTATATACGAATATAGATTACTATTTGGCCTAAATCTTCAAATGACCTCTCCAGAAGTGTTCATGAAGGTATTAACTAGCATGGGGGACAAGGTGGATCCTTCTGGTACCCTGTAAGCCTATAGTCAAGGAGCAGAACAGAAATCCCCCCCAACAATAACTTCTGGGATCTGCCTTGTAGAACAAACTTAAGCCAGTACCACCAATATACTCTAGAAGCATTTGTATTAAATTCTATACATCAATTTTGTTATTTAATTATAGATGTTAGTGAATTTTCATTATGCATTAACTTTAGTTATAGTTATGTGATATCCTTTAGCTAATCTAATAGCTTCTCTGTCGTAGCATCATGATGAGAGGTGCTAAGGATCTGTAGTAGAATTCTCAATACTTAGGAAAGCTGTGATAGTGAACATGATATAAAACAAATGCAACATTTAGTATGGACAGAACATGTATAACATTTTCTATCATCATTGCCTTCGATGCTGTAGCTCAGTATCACAGAGCAAAATGAAAGAAGAGCAGGTCTTTCCAGTTCTAGGAAAGAGTCTGTATTGCAAGCTAAAATTTCTCAAAATATTATTACCAGCTCCTTAGAAGTATTTATGTCACTTCTTTGATAGAAGACTTAGAACTGTCAAGAGTTGGCAGGCACTTGCAATGATAATCTATAGAAAAACTAGCGAGAAATTGCTGTTTTTTGTCTACTAGGACAAAAATATATTCAATTATTTTAGAACAGAAGTAAATCTAAATATATTGTATTCTCTTTATGAGTACTGAATCTCTAGATTATTTTTGAGGCACTTTCAGAAGTGTCCTGCTATTTAGGAACAAAATGGGGGGAAAGATGCCATGAGATTACTTTACTATCTCACTCCTGTCACTGGTACACAGATCAAAGGGAAAAGATTTACTAACATCAGCAACCCAGTAATGAAGCTTCTTATATTCCGGGTTTAAAGCCAGAGAGAAACTTTAAATCAGGGTGCAAGATGGATTATGTTCCTACATTCACCTCCAAGACATCAGAGCTGGACTAAAACCAAGGTATAAAGATAACATTAAAATGCATTATTCTCTTTAAAAGTGAATGGGCGTACTTTTGTTTTTGTATAAGAGCAAAGGGAAGAAGCAAAGGAAGTCTCAATGTGAACAGGTCCTGTTGACTGAAACCTAATGGTCTCCCCTTCCTTCCCAATTCTGCTCTTCCCCTTTTTCTAGACTTTGTCTGCACCTGCTCCATTTGCAGGTGAAACAAGCTGTCAGTGCAAAGCTCCTCATGAGAAGCTAACCATTGCTCAGGCCCGCCTGGGAACACCAGGTGAGTCTTGATCTATGAGATAATACATACATTTGGTAGAATGCATTCACATATGCCCTTGCAGTTAGTGCTTTACAGGAGAGGCAGATTATATTACTGGTAAGTACAATAAATAAGAGGCCACCTGTTCACCTACAACTATTTATTCAAATTCCCTACGTTGTGAAGGATATTCAAATATCTAGTCAAGTTGCTTTTATTTTTTACTTTATATGTATTACAGTAAAAGCCACAAATTTGGTGAATATTCACATTTTATGTGTGAATTGCATAACAGAGTATTTCCTCCCAGATGATCCCCTTCCCCAAACTATTTAGATCTGTTGATGAGGCCCTGCTAAGTGTACAGTCCTTTAGCAAATGCAAGACTGGCATCTATTAGCAGCCAGGCTTTTTGAACTGTTGCCCCAAATTTGTAGAAGGCCCTTCTTCTAGAAGCTTCTCTTCATCATTTTTCTTTTCACTGGATCTTTCAGGACTGAGCTAAGCTATCTGGTGCGGTTTGCTTTTTGTTTCTTTTGTTTGATAATGCTGAATTGTAATTATTTTAAATGTTTATATTAATTTTATATTCGAGAGTTCAAGAATGGATGAATAGATGGATACCCCCCCCCCCAATGTTGAGATATATACAAATGAAAGCTAACGGCCACAGAATTTGTGTGGAATTGTCAACATATGAAAGTTTACACTTATAAAATTTCAGGCATTTGTCCAACACATACATTTCTAAAGACTATAAATACAGACACTTAGACTTAACGTTTAAACAAAATATAAGGAAAAGTGGGGGAATGGTGAACCAGTATAGCAGTAGGATGTTGTCAAAGATTCCCAAACAAACTAGTGAATATTTGATATTCAAAAAGGTATGGGTTGGATGTGCTGATTTGTCAGCAGAATTTGCTAGCAGTCATAGATCTTGTTCCTCCTCTCCCAGCAGTCCATTCCAATCTCTTGGAAGTTTATTTTCAGGGCCCTGGGACCCACATAGACTAACAGCCACAAGGCCCTGTGTTGAGAAAGGGGAGAGGTCAAAATCACTCTCCTGCCTCTTGTGTCAGCAGAGCTGTGTTTGCAGAAGAAGGAGGAGGACCCTCTTTTCTCATTGTAACCCCTACACACATAGCTATTATTCCACATGGATCCTGGGACTCCAAGAATCAACTTCTCCAAGGTCAAAAGATACAGAGGGGGAACATGGCAAAGACCCCTGATCCTTGCATCAAGGAATTGCTGGATTACTTGTTAGATTAAAAAAAAATTAAAATCTGAATATGATTCACATTTTAGGAATAATGCTCCAGGGTTTCTGCACTTTAGCTCTCCTATTCCAGTGATATGCACATCAGTTACATAACTTGATAAATTATTTCTGCATTGTTTCCTTTTAATTTATGATGATTTTAAAAAAACAAAACCTGGATGAAATGTATCAAATCTGAGGAAAACAAAAAAGCTCTTTAATTTACTGACTCACTTTGAATATACACAGCAAATGCCATTGTAGCTGACACAGATGTAAAGTTATTGTGATGGTTTGACCTCTAAATTATTTCCTTCCTCCCACAGTTGACAGACCTGTCAGAGTCTATGCAGATGGGATATTTGATCTCTTCCATGCTGGTCATGCCAGAGCTCTTATGCAAGCCAAAACTCTCTTCCCTAATAGCTACTTGTTAGTAGGAGGTAAGACCAACATTTGAACAAATCTTACCCATTAGCACAATCATTATTTCCATGTGATTTGCATTTAATTTTTATTCCTGCTTCATATAAAGTCATTTTTAGCAAAGGGTTTGTGAAATCTTACTGAGACCAGAAAGAAATTCAAGTCTAGGTTTAACAAGGGACTAGAGTTTCTGATCCTTCCATCTTAGATTTGGAGTAGGGAAGGGGCTGTGGCTCAAAGGCAGATAATTTCCAGAAGGTCCCAGGTTCAACCCCTGCCATGTCCAGTTAGAAGGGTCAGGCGGTGCTTGAGAACCTGGTGAGTCACTGCCAATGGAGTAAATAATGCTGACCTTGATAAACGAATTATCTGATATTGCAGCTTATGTGTGTATGTGTAGAAAAGAAATGCAGCACAGAACTGCCGTGAAAATGATCTCATCCAAGGCTCTGAATTGGGGTATTATTCCCTTCTCCCTGGAATGTATGTCATTTCTCACCAATCACAGCTAGGAAAAGTAGTCTTTTTGGCTGATATTGCTACCTGTTCCACAGAATGTTGCAGAGATAAACTGAGCCAGTGAGGGGCCGGGAAAAAGCAATAACAGATGCCGCAATTGACAGAGCAAATTGAAATCAGGGCAAGCTCCAGAAAAAAGCGGGATGTGAGGACCAGGATTTGTAATTTAGCCTGAGTGGAACAGAAGATTTCAGGGTATGTTTACAAAAGAATCTCTCTTTTGTACGCTTGTGTCCATCCTATAGTTTGATATACTTCCTGCTCTCTTTTATATAAACCAGGATGGCTAGTCGAAAGTATCATGCTATCTGTCAGCAAGAGTGGAAACCCTCCTGACTTGTTAATCTTTTTCTTGTTCCTTTTATGCTTCCACTATTGTTTGTTGTTCAGACTTCACAGATTGGTTTGACTGCAGTGTTTTCTACTTGGTGCTACCTTTTAAAATAGCCTATAGATTTGCAGGTAGTGAAGGACTCTTCAGCTCACAGTCTTGAGATGAAGAGATCTTATCATATTAATTCTGGATCAACTGGTTTCCAATTTCCCCCCCAATTCTATATAAAGTGTTGATAGATAGCTGCCTTTCAAAACCAAAATTCCTAGTCCCAGGGTAACTGAGGGAGTGCCTTCACCTGTGTTGCCTCTCCTCACACCTGAGATCTGCAGAGGCCATCTGTGCCATTGTTCCATCATTTAGCGAGGTTAAAGGGCTTCTTTGTTGTATCACCCAAGTTGTGGAACTTGTACCTGAGGGGAAATTGTCTGGCAGTATCTCTTACCAACCCTCCAGCAAGTGAAAGCTTTCCTTATATAGGAAAGCCTTTTCTTTGTGCTGAGAGTGAACCTGGAATTGAGTATCACTGCTGTCTACATTTGTGACTTTTGGCTATATTCATGTTTTGAGGTTTATTTTGTGCATTGTTTTTGTGAGATATGCAGCGTAATCCTAAACAGATTTACACTTTACTAAGCCTGTTGTAGTCAATGGCTTTAGAAAGGTGTAATTCTTATGAGAATTTCAGTAGAATTTATGTATTGAGCCAGTGTGATGTAGTGGTAGAGTGTTGGACTATGATCCGGGAGATCCAGGTCAGAATCCCCAGTCTGCAGTGGAAGCTTGCTGAGTGACCTTGGGCCAGTTGCTCTCTCTGTCTTAACCTACCTCACAGGTTTAGGTGGTGGTTGAAAGCATCGGTGTAGACTTTCCAATTTCCCGGGGGGGGCTGGGGCTGGGCCAGAGGCATTGCTTTGCTAGGAGCAAGGGTGGCTCCCGGGGGAGGCTGAACACCTTCCTGAAAATTTCGGCGGGGGCTGAAGCCCCGCCGCCCCCACGAAGATTACGCCTATGGTTGAAAGGATTGTTGTTGTTGTTGTGAAGATAAAATGGAGGTGGGAGAGGATAACGTTGTAAGCCCCTTTGGGTCCACATTGAGGAGAAATATATTAATATATACATGACTAAATTATTAATTTAATATTCTAATTATGGTGTCGGTGGGTAATAACAGTAGGAAAAATAAGAAACACAAATAAATAAATAAATATGGAATAGAACATCAGATTTTGAAGTTGGCTTTAAGAAACTGTGGTTTATGACGTGGCAGATGCAGTTCTTATTGTTGGTGCTGAATGACATGAAACATATAATCACATTTTTAAATTGTGCTTCCAGGCCATTTGAACTACAGATGCTTTGTTTGTTTTAAACAAGTCTATCTATAAGTCGCTGCCACATGGCAACAATTCCCCGTTGAGTATCCACATGGGGATATTCTGTGTGCTTTCCCTCCATTGTGACCACCATTTTAGCCTCCTCTTGTCTTCATAGGGGTTTTTGCCACCTTAAAAAAAATCAATAATAGGTACCGCTATAGTGTAATGATGCTGTAGCAATATAGCTAGTATCATATTTCTAAAAGCCAGCAAAAAGCCCACCAGTGGTATAGAGGGGATGGTAGGCATGTGGAAATGATGCCAATGTGAGCAGGTGGTTCAAAAATACAAACTCTCCCGTCCACTCAGAGAACAAACCTGCTTTGACTACGATCTTTTTGGAAAGACCATATTAAAACGGGCAAAGCAGGGGAAAATATGGAAGTGAACAATTGAAGGATGACTGGAAGATATATTATGTGGATGCTCCCAAAAGCCTGCACTTTGAGACCCAAAACAGAGCAGAACATTCACATGGAAGTGAGTGTAGCTGCAGAGCTGCAAGAGCAGTTTTGTGTCACATCTTGTTAGGAACTTCCATTTTGAGGGGCAGTTCTATTTTAATTTTGTAGTCACAAATACCTGTTATTGTGATTTGTTTTGAAACTATACGTTCAACCAAACAATGAGCTTTGAAAAATTTCTAACCATACAAATTTGCTATAGTTTATAGGGCAATTTTAATTTTTTTTGTCAGTTTGCAGTGATGATCTAACACATAAGTTTAAAGGATTCACTGTAATGAATGAAACCGAGAGGTATGAGGCCCTCAGACACTGCCGCTATGTAGATGAAGTCATTAGAGATGCTCCATGGACACTTACACCTGAGTTTCTGGAAAAGCATAAGGTACCTTTCTTTTCTTGTTCAGAAAAGGGAATAAAACACTCCTTTCTAGTTACTACTAGATCAAAAATGTGCGACCTTTGTGGTAGGAAAAAAATAACACAAATGCAAGCAGCAGCAGTTAAGGCCACACATTTGGCTAGTGTAATTCAGGCTTCCTCCCCCCCCTCCCCCCCAGCCCCAATATATTTTTAAAAATTAATTTACCTCCAACTACTCTGACAGCACTTCTCCCTTTTTTTGGTAAAGATTTGTTATTGTTTCAGACCATCCTCCAAGTACTCACATATATTCATGTACAAGGACCAGTATTTTGCACAATATAAACATGCAAACATTTCTACCTCCTGATTTTCTTGAACATAAGGGAGTATTTACAATCATTTCTCTCTCTTGTGCTCTAATACATGTGATCTGAAACACAACTGCAGAAAACTGTGCTTTCTTCAAATAATATAGTGTGACATGTTGCTTTTCCTGTTGTTCTTGCACTTGTCTGATAAAGTTTCTGCTATTTCATTGAACTTATGAGGTAGATCAACCACAGTTCGCTGTCCCTTCAGTAACACAGAGCACTTTTGTGGGTTCCAAAATCCCATGGCTCACTGATGTTACCATTGGTGGACACTTAACATTTCTGGAGTATCCCCAGTTGGGCAACTGCATTATAGTTTTGAGCAAGTACTTTTGGATAACACAGTTACCTTCACAAGATCCTTAGAAGCTGATCTGTGCTAATCATGGGATATGTGAAAGTGGCCACAGCCAACTTTGGGACTTTATCTGGTACTACATACTCTGCATCAGAACAGAATAAGCTTGTGAACCAAAGGTCTTGAATTTAATTATAGCTCATCACAATAGTTTAAAATATCTTTATTTAATACTTTGATTATTATTCTTTTAAGTGCATTGGCACATTGATACTGGAAATTAAACAAATTATACCTTCAAAATGATAACTAAGAATAACTTAGGATTCAAGAAGTGCCAACTTTATTGCCTTTATTCTATGTCTTCCAGATTGATTTTGTAGCCCATGATGATATTCCATATTCTTCCGCTGGTTCGGATGATGTGTATAAGCACATAAAGGAAGCAGGTGAGGGCCATCTTTTATTGTCACTTTGTTTTTCAGCCTTACTTAAGGATTGAACTAAGTATGTTTTGGCTTCACGTTGCCCTCACTGCAGAGGCAATGTAAACTTCCTGCCAACAGACAGTTTACAGATGAATACTGACTCTGGCAGAAAGGTCCCCCCCCCCCCCCCCTGAAGCCATATTATGGTCTTGGGAGATTTTTTTAATTGTAATCTTTATGGCTTTGTTCTGTGAGTCAAGAATTAAGCATATTACTTTTTAATTTTTTATTATTTTTTCAGAGAAAAGGTGAGGTGCAGAAGGAAAAGGGGTGGGGGAAAATGTAAATTTATCAGGTTTGTCAAATAATATAAGTTGTTACATACAACAAGTAAAATCAGCTATATTACCAAATATATTACATATTTTAAATATAGAAGCAGACATTAAAGAATAAATAAGAACTTTCTATTAACAAGAAAATAAATTACATCTTTAACAATTGAATAAACTTCTTTTTTTATAATTTTTTATTTGCATCATAAATTATTATGACATTACTTTACCATCCCAATTCTCTTATGATACGTTTTCCCCCTTTTATATCCCACCCCCCACAAGGTGGCCATCACATAACTACAAATTAAATTTTTAACCATGAGCACATTTTTTTCAATTTTTCAAGTATAATGGAATTAGCTTCTCCGTTATTTACCCACTGAAAGTATATAGACCAATTGAATAAACTTCTAGCTAAAACTGAATTGCTGTAAAATCCTGAATATTGTCTTAATTGTTTATCTAAATCTAAATTATATTCTTACTAATTATTTAATTACTAGTTGAATACAGAATCAAGTACTGGAACGATAATCAATACCTTCATTACCTTTAATATGGTATTTAGCTTATTCTAGAACTTTAAAAAATTAATTAATCCCATAGTATGAGTAATAAACATGCAATTTCTGTAAAAATTCTTTCAGTAGTCTTTTGTTTATATAATTAGTTAGATTTGCCAATGTTGCATACTCAGCTAGTTTTTTTCCAGTTTATTGTAGGACCGTCTTCTGTCTTCCATTTCATTGCAAATATTATTCTGGCTGCCATCAACATATATCTAAGTAGGTCTTGTGAGGTTCTGTCTATGTTATCTGGTAAGATTCCCAGTAAGATAATCTCTGGTTTCATCGGGACTTTAGTTTTTAGAATATTTTGAATTTCTTCATGTATATTTTTCCAGTATCTTTTCGTCTTGATGCAGGTCTACCACGTCTTGATGCAGGTCCACCACATATGATAAAATGTGCCATCTTCTGTTTTACATTTCCAGCAGGCCCCTTTGTAATTCTTATCCATTTTAGCAATATCTTGTGGAGTGATGTACCATCGGTAAAACATCTTGTACCAGTTTTTTCTTAATGGTTGGCTAGCAGTGAATCTAATACCTTTAGTCCATAGATTTTTCCAACACTGAAACTGTTTTTCCTCACCAAAATTTTGCATCTATTTAATCATGTAGGATTTGACTTGTTCTTCTTCATATTGAAGCAATAACTTGTAAATTCACCCTAATAAATGGTCTTTAGATTATGAGACAATCTGTTCAAAATCAGTCATTTCATTAATAACTCCTCTCTTAGTACAGATATAATTTTTAATCTAGAAGCAATTTGAAATTATATCCACCATTGTATCTCCTTTCCTTCTTCTTTAATCTCCTGCCACGTCTTGATGCCACCTTGTGAGTTTATCATATCACCATAAGTTATAAAATCATTGTTTCTCCTTGTGTAATTACCATAATAAGCGTCTATTGGTGACATTATTAGTGGAATTCTGGGGCTGATTATCTTTTGTAGCATTTCCTCATCAAAGGATCCTAACTAAGCGCAAAAATCATGGGATAAAAGGACAAGTCCTTTTGTGGATCAAAAACTGGCTAATTAATAGAAAACAGAGAGTGTGTATAAATGGGCAATTTTCTTAGTGGAGGGTGGTAAGCAGTGGGGGTACCGCAGGGATCATTACTTGGTCCACTGCTTTTTAACTTGTTCATTAATGATTTAGAGTTGGGAGTAAGCAGTGAAATGGCTAAATTTACGGATGATACAAAGTTGTTCAGGGTGGTGAAAACCAGGGAGGATTGTGAGGCACTCTAAAGGGATCTTTCAGGGATGGGCAAGTGGGCATCAACATGGCAAATGGGGTTCAATGTGGCCAAGTGCAAGGTGATGTGATATCATAATGCCTCTATATAAATCAATGGTGCGACCTCATTTGGAATACTGTGTGCAGTTCTGGTCACCACACCTTTAAAAGGATATTATAGCTTTGGAAAAAGTGCAGAAAAGGGCAACTCGAATGATAAAAGGGTTGGAACACTTTCCCTATGAGGAAAGGTTAAAGCGCTTAGGGCTCTTTAGCTTGGAGAAATGTCAACGGAGGGGTGACATGATTGAGGTTTATAAGATTATGCATGGGATAGAGCAGGTAGAGAAAGAACTCGTGGGCACTCAATGAAATTGCTGAGCGGTCGGGTTAGAACGGATAAAAGGAAGTACTTCTTCGCCCAAAGAGTGATTAACACATGGAATCCACTTCCACAGGAAGTGGTGGCGGCTACAAGCATGGACTGCTTCAAAAGGGAATTAGATAAGCATATGGAGCAGAGGTCCATCAGTGGCTATTAGCCACAAGGTATAGATAGGGGCTCTGGGGCAAGTGATGCTCTGTCTTCTTGGTGCTTGGGGGGGTCAACAGTGGGAGGGCTTCTAATGTCCTGGCCCCACTGGTGGACCTCCTGATGGCACCTGGTATTTTTGGCCACTGTGTGACAGAGTGTTGGACTGGATGGGCCTTTGGCCTGATCCAACATTGGCGTCTCTTATGTTCTTATGTCTCTGATTATATGTCTTTTATCTTGGGTTTTGTTTTTGGATATAGATTTTTAATCCACAGAGAGCTATGTAATCTATCATCAGGATTTGAAGATTCTAATTTTATCAGTCTTTCATTGGGACTTCTGATCCAATCTGATATCCAAACTAGTCTAGCGGCTTGGTAATATAATTTAATGTTAGTTATTGCCAGACCACCTCTTTTCTTCTCGTCTTGCAATACTTTAAATCTTATTCTTGGCTTCTTATCTTTCCATTCAAATTTATTTATTTGTCTTTGCCAGTCACTCAAAGTCTTTTCAGGAATTGAAATTGGAATGATCTGTAACAAAAAGTTTCATTTTAGTAGTACATTCATTTTTATAGTGGAAATTCTTCCTAGCCAGGATAGATGTAATTTGGACCATCTTTCAAGAACTTTTTGTATATTGGACCAGATTGTCATGTAATTATCATTTAATAGTGTATCATTCTGTCCCATGAGATATATTCCTAGATATTTGACTGGATTGCTTGTTACATCCTGAAATTTTCTTAAACTCCTCTTCTTCTTGAGTGATTTAAAAATAATCTTGGTTTTCTTCCAGTTGATTTTATAACCTGAAAAGAATCCGAACGTGTCAATTTGTGCCAAGAATTAATCATATTACTTGAGTTGTTATTAGTTCTTCATATATGTTCACTGAATTGGAGGAGGAGGTTGGGACTTATAGCCTAGGTAACATCACCAAGCCCGGACCCCAAAAGAGTTCCTATAAAGTTTACATCAGGAGGAGAATATCACTAGGTCCAGCAATTCCCATCTAAATCTAAAGGAAAAGTTACATCTGGCAGAAATTTTCCTTCTCTGAAACTCTTCAAACTACATGAACCCACTCATTGTCTATATCTAGCACCCTATGGCCAATATCATTGCTTTATCTATTTAAAAACAGATGACATTCTGGTTTGATATAAATTAATATTTCTCAAGATGGTGGCACTATTAGGTCAGCAGTTGATTATAATACAGTTATTTTACTTATCTAAAATTTATTAATTTAGAGATTTGATTCTAATTTATCAGCTCCTGGACTTTTGGCTTTTAGAGATTTGGTTCTAAAATGCATATCTATGTGGTACAAAAAATCTTCCAGGATACTAGATCAGGCTCCCTTCTGCTAAGCTGCTCCCTTCTTTACTTAGCTGAAGAGAATCCTTTGATCCAGTTCATCATGTATATATGCATGCATGCTTGTGGATATATATCAATTTGTGTAAAATAACCAGATACTATATAAACATAAGAAATAAAAGATATATCCTCCATTCAGGCTTATCATCTAAATCCATAGCCATGATCCTTTATAGCGTTGGGCACTTTTCTTTCTGTGCTGTTAACAGCTGAATGACAGAATGACAAAAGGTGGTACTCTTCTCTGCATGAGGGTGTGATCATGTGAGAAACTACTCCTATATGTGACGTTGACCTCTGTGAGCAAAACTATGGGTGATTTCTCACGAGAGCTGCCTCGCAGCACAGCGCCGTTTGCCTCGACACAAACGCGTCAATTTCACACCTGAAGCTCCGGGGCTGCATTTGACTCGGGGCTTCACCCGATTTCCTCCGCAGTTTCATGATCCTCAAAAACCAGGATCACGAAACTGCGGAGGAAATCGGGCGAAGCCCCGAGTCAAAATGCAGCCCCGGAGCTTCGGGTGTGAAATTGACACGTTTGTGTCGAGGCAAACGGCGCTGTGCTGCGAGGCAGCTCTCGTGAGAAATCACCCTATGTGTATATTGACAGTTTAAACAATTTTTAAAAACCAGTATATCTAATTCTCAATGTGGCCAAATATGAGAATACTTAAATCTGGAAACTGGAGCCATGAACAGACAAGATAGATCTTTCTACAAACTTGAGAAAAGCCCCAGGTTTGCAGAACAATCTGGGGGGCGGGGGGGGGTGGACATGAGGAGGTTAAAAGCTCCCAAAATAATAGAAGAAGTGACTGTAGCTTTAAGAAATAGATGCCCTCTGTGACTGTTACTAGGCAAGTACAACTAGGCAAGTACAACAGTGAAATTGTGGTTTCTCTCAATAAAAGGCAATTGGTTGGGGCAGGGAATTTCAAGAACTGTTAGGGGCTTTGAAGGTGGACTCATCAGGGCCAGGGGCAGCCACCAGGTGACTCACTGTTACCCAGCTTGCATGCCTAACCCAGGAAAACATGAGGATATAGGGAGTTGCCAGGAGGAGAGAAAGAGGAAATAGTATGGAGAGGATGATACACAGGGAAATGAGGTGCCCTATGCAAGTCCTTGTGGGTTCCCCACCATGCAGCTCTGTCAGACTTTTCCCAAGACTGGCTGCTGTGGTAGGGAAGAAAGGAAAACTGAAGATGAAAGATAAAGGCAGGTTGACTGGTGGGTGGGAAGGAGAGAATAGGCAGGGAAA